TGAAAATACTAATAGCACTCCACACACACAAAAATCTATTTCAATTATCATATGTGAGGCAGTTTGCACAAGTGACAACAGCATGTCCACACACATGGACAGCCTACACTGACAGCACATGTGTTTTGCTTTCCTGGGCTTTTTGTTGGACATCCTGGGTTTCTCAGTGGTCTTGCTGTTTCGTTAGGTGGCTCTTATATTACACAGTGTGTAGTTACCAGGAATATAAGATATCAATAAATTATTAAATTATTTTGTTGTTGTCTTTTTTTTTTTTTGCAGAACCGGGGCTGAATTCAGGCCCTTGCACTTGCCAGGGAAGCGCTTATTCCACTGAGCCATCTCCCTGGCCCCATGTTGTTGTCTTTTTGAGAGAGGGTTTCATTATGCAGTTCAGGCTGGCCTTGAACTCACTCTGTAGCTCAGGCTGGCCTCAAATTCACAATGATCCTCCTACACAGCCTCCTTAGTGCTGGGATTGCAGGTGTGCACCACCACACCCAGCCTCAAATTCTTAATAGGTACTGTGCGTTCAGAATAGACATCAACATTGTCACATCAGCTGTGTATTTTCTCACCAAACCTAAAAGATAGTATCAGAAATAAATTCCTATATGAACTACAATGCAAGTACCAATAGAATTATACCACAAAAATAAGCTTCCCTTCAACTGTCACACCCAAGGCAGTCTTTTTTTTTTTTTTTTTTCCAAGGCAGTCTTGACCCATGACAACTGCATGTTCTGACAGCACATTTACTTAGCTTGCCTTTCCTGTGTGGCCATCTTGTCACCTCGCTTCCTGTTCTGTCAGGAGCTTCCTACTATACTGAGTAATACACACTTAGCAGGGAAAGCAGATGCCAATAAAACACAGTATCAACTATATAACGAGAGCTTAGACTAGACACCAAGATTTTCACATCAGCTGTTCACACGCTTAAAACCCTAAAAAATAACATCAAAAAGTGTAAACACAAACAAAAGTTCACCACAGAAAGAGGTTTTGTTCCCCTATACAAGTACCACTTGCACTGACAGTACATATGTTTGTTTTCCTGTCCTTTACCTTTTTCTTTTTTTGAATGTATTTAGTAGTGTCTACAAGGTAGGGTCTCACTACACAGATCAGACTTGTAGGGATCCCATTTTCAGCCCTCCCCCCAAGTGCTAGGATTATAGGTGCTTGCCACCACACCCACTCTCAATTACCATCGCAGTGTGCCCTGGGGGTGGGTGGGGCTGGCACAGCATGCAGGGGATCAAACTTCGGTCCCTGCACCTGCCTAAGCTGGCACTTTAGTCCACTGAGCTATCTGGCTGGCCTTTTATGCCACATTTTGACCCATCTCTTTTTTTGTTTGTTTTTGTGCCTGGCTTAGCCCACTCTGGGGGCATGGCTATGAGGCGCCAGGGATCAACCCTAAGCAGGCCCTTCAGACTGCTGAGCTATCTCGCCAGCCAACCCATTGCTTTTTTTTTTTTTTTAAATTTATTTATTCATTTATTTGTGTGTGTGTGTGTGTGTGTGTGGTCACAAGGCATCTAATACCAGACCAGGGTATATGGCATCTGGAGCCTGGGTGTGATCCTCTACACTGAGGATCACACCCAGTGTGGCCAGCTCAGCCCACCAGGGGGCGGGGCCGGCCGGCATGTGGTGCCGGGGGACTGAACCGCGGTCCCTGTGCTTTGCTAAGCTTGTTCTAAGTAGGTGCTCCAGACCACCGAGCCATCCCACCAGCCCCGACCCCTTGCTTTTCTATGTCCTTTATGTTTCTGAGATCATGAGATTTATGCTAAGTACAGCACAACTATGAATATTTTTAGTTTAGCTAATGAGGTATCATAATAAATAGATTTTTGAATATGGATATTGGTACATGCAGAAGGTTTTATTTGCATTTCAGCCTTTGTGTATATCACAGCTTCTTGTGGCATTCTTCCAACATTAAAAGCCAATGCTACCATTCAAGCCAATAGGTTTCACCCCTGGCAAGGCCTTCACCATTATTTTTGGACTGTTCCATTTGGTTGTGTGGCCATTTTGCAACATTTTGACTAGTCAGAGATATACTCACATTGGCGTTTCCTTCCTCAAGGTCTGCATACTCTGTATCTGTCTCAGTGGACTTTTGGTCCACTTCGCTGTCACAGGAACTTTGGTTCACACAGCCAGTGTCAAAGTTGTTGCCATCATCATCATCCGCTCACATCACCCCTCTGTTATCAACACACACATTTTACCGTAATGGATCATCATCATCCATGCATGAGTAATCTGATGATTCACTGTTGCCGTCCTCCAGAACTTGCAAATCTGGTTTTTCCTGTGCCATTGTACTGAACTGGGCTACTTCTACCAGAAAAATCGAAAGAAAAAAAAAAACTTTTTAACAAATCCTGGAGCATTGTGGGTCTATCAGACCCTCTGTGATGCTTGGGTAAACATATCCAAAACCAATTAGATGGAGCACAATGGTACATGCAAATCCCATTTTGACATTTTTGTACATGTGCATACTGCTTGCTATTTGTTGCACCAAGTGGAGTAACACACAGATTGCTTCCTGTATCCTTTACGGAAAGGTACCCCAGACACAACCAGTTACTATAATGCTAAAGTACAAATTTGTAACAGAAAAGTAAGGGATAGGTCTACTTTATCCAGGCATATCACTTGAGTGGAATAAAACAAAAAGTATATACAAACAGAGCACTAAGTGGTGTCTTTTCCTCTAGAACTCAGCTAGTACATGGGCCAAGGGACCAATGCTCAGGCAAAGGCAGACCTAAAGGCTTTCTCTGACCTATCCCTGTCCCTGTCCCCAAGAGGTTTAGGCAGCTCCATGCCTCTCCCTTGGTTCAAGTAGTTCAGCCTCTGTTGATCTTATCCTTTTTCCTCACACATCCTTCTTCAATGTCATCCTCAAATGTCTGGGGCCATTTAAGATAAATGACCTTGGTGGGCATTCCCTAAAGGGAGGCCCATCAACTACTCATTGCCACCCCACTCTGAGGATCAGCAAGCCCTAGACAGCAGCCCTGGTGTTGCCCAGTCTCTTGTGATTTTTTTAGCCACCATTCCTCCCTGGAGCATGCTCCCTGCACACTGGCTATGTCCCTGACTTGCTCAGTACCTGGGCAGCATTCCCTGACCTTAGCTTTCTGTCTCCCACTTGCAAAAGCCCCCTTGGATTAAAACTGAACCTTTTCTATGAACCAAAACACCTAGACCTCTACCTTCCCTACCCCTAAGAATTCCAGCCCCAGACCCCAGATCCAGCCCCTGAAGAGTCCCAGGATAGCCATCCAGGAACTTGTAGAAATGTACTGTCTGAGAATGTAAGTTGGTAGACTCCAGGCAGGTGTCAGGCCTTGGGCTGGCCTTCAGAGAACACCAGCACTTAAGACAGTGAGACAACCCATATGGGAAAATTGGAAAGAACAGCTCCTGCAGAGCTCAAAACATGATTCCAAGTAGAGTCCCTTGTGCACCCAGACCTCCTGAGCAGGAAACATTCTGATTCCCACGTAAGGCCTGAACACACTAGCATGGAAATTAAACAGATTTTGGACCCAGCTAGGCCTAGAGGGCAAGACCCCACAGCCCCACTGCCATCAAGTGAGGACTAGGTCCCAGCCCACAGGCAAATGCTGCCCCACGCACATAGCACCTGTGGCTCTCTGAAGCTCTTTTTATACTGCAGCCTCAGTAGAGCCAATGGGTGGGACCAAGAGCAGGTGAGGAGAGCAGAGGACACCATGAGGATGACCTAGTCTCACCTGAGCTAGAACCCACAGGCTGGGAGGTGACAGCTAAAGTTACCAGGAAAGTGACTCAGGCTGGGGTGGGGCTTGATAGTCCTGTAACTAGCAAACCAAGCAGGCTAGGTCCAGCAATGCCTAGAGCCCCAGGCAACCCGGAAGACTCCAATTACAAGGGTTCCCTCCCTCAGAGGAGCAGAGAAATGAGGTAGAATACAAGGAAACAAAAGTGGTACATTTCCATAACTCCAGCACTCGGAGGCAGCTCCAGCCTGAGTTACACAGCAAGACTTTATCTGAAAATACAAAAACAAAACAAATAAATGGTAGCAAGCAATCATAAAATTGTACTTTTAACAGCCAGGCATGGTGGCACATGCCTATAATCTCAGCATTTGGAAGGCTGAGGCAGGACAATCACTGAAAGCTTAAGCCAGCCTAAACTACATAGTGAGATCCTATCAAAAAAAAAAAAAAAAAAAAAAAAAAAAAAAAAAAAAAAAAAAAAAAAGAAAAAGAAAAAAAAAGGGGGAGGGGGCTGGCCAAGTAGCTCAGCAGATTAAAGTGTCTGCTTAGACACAAGGGCCAGGGGTTTGATCCCTGGGCCTGCCCTGCCAGCCCTACCCCTGGGGTGTGCTGAGAGGGCGACTGAGACTGGGCATGGTGGTGTGCCTGTAATCCCAGCTCCTGTGAGGCTGTAAACAGGAGGATCACTACAAGTCTGATCTAGTAGTGAGACCCTAAACACCCTGTAGACCCTTCCCTAAAATAAAAAATAAAAAGACTTGCAACTTTCAAGACCAGCTGAAGTTACCCAAGGTGTTCCAGCTCAGCAATCCTTTAGTTAAACTTAGGATCATTCCCTACAAAATCCAGCATACCCAAAATTCCTCAGAAATACTAAAAGTCCATAAATTGGCTTGAGAAAGATTAAAAATAAAGGAACAAGTTGAGAGAATTGAAGGAATGCTCAAATTACTCATCTTAAAAAAACAATAATGGAAGGCAGGGAAGATAGATCAGCAGCATAAGCACCTGCCAGGCAAGCGCAAGGTCCTGAGTGGACCCTAGGTGCCACACACACACACACACACACACACACACACACACACACACACACAGAATGGGCCAGGTGTGGTGACACACATCTGTAATCTCAGCTCTCAGGAGGCTGAGGTAGGACTGCTAAAAGTTCAAGGCCAGCCTGGGCTACACAGTGATTCAAGGCCTGCCTGAATTACACAGTAAGACACTGTCTCAAAAAACTAACACAGACAGAAAGGAAAGTGGGGCTAGCACCCTTCTGGGGGTGAGCCACTTTCTCCCAGCATGTCCACCCCCTCAAGAAAGCATAAATGTTCCCTGTCAGGAAATAATTCATTTCATTTCTCTGAATGCCCGTATTCCACTCTGCCTAATGTACCTCTTTCTCAGTTGTCCTGAAAATGATTTTTCTGCAACAGGAGTCAGTGAGCCTGCAAAGTCACCCAATTGGGTGACATTTTCTTTTGAGGAAAAGGAATGATGTGTGAGCACAGTCAGCTCAGAAGGCAGTTCTGGGAGCCACCCTCAGCTTCCACAACCCAGGGACCCTCAATTCCTCAGATGTTGATGGAGGTCCCAGGTTGGAGCTAGGGCTCAGGTTGAGAGTGAGGGATGCAAAAGCAGCCTGGCCAGACTGTATCAAGTATTCTTTAATAACAGTTCAGGCAGGGATTAAATAGAAAAGTTCCAGCAAGGCCTCAGGAGACAGCATGGGTGCTGTTCCCCAAGGAGAGTGGGTGTGTACCCTGTGTCAGCCCGGCTGCCCCACAACACCTATCATCTGTGGGTCCCATGATGATTAACCACCTCTGGTCTGGGCCTGGGACCCCAGAGGCTGCAGCCGTCTATACTTCAGGCTCCATGACACATCTGTGGGCCAAGCCTGGGTCGGCTTAAAAGAAGTCCGAGGCTTTGTGTCGGGCAGGGAGTTGCAGCAAGTTGTCCGTGATGGAGGCTGGGTCTTGTGTGAGGGGTGTGCGTGGGGCAGAACCAGGAGCTGGTGTGCTTGTGGGAGTCTGAGGTCCACCAGCCGGAGTCTTGAGGTGAGTCGAGCGTGCTGGGGATGGTGTGTAGCTGGCCCGTAAGGCACGATCTGTGTACTTGCTGGCGGTCCTGCTCACAAGCCGCTGCAGGGCTGGGGACATGGCTGGACTCAGACCTTTAGGTGTGAGGCTGGCATGGAGAGATGGGTAAGAAGTTGAGGTTAGGAGGGTTGGGTGTTGCTGGGAGCAGGGCCTTCCTCAGCCCCTTAGGGCAGATGATACACGGTTATTCTGGGCTGAGGCGCACAGCACTTGGCAGCCTGACACACAGCAGTGCAGTGAAGTGTGAAGTCAAAAGGCAGTGTTGCATTTGACTGAGCGTGGGGGAGACCCCAGCTTCTGAGAATTCAAGTCCCCACCCTTCTCCAAGGGGAATGATGACACTGTCTCCACAGGGCTGACAAGAGCTCACAGAGGGACAAATGGCCAAAAAGGCTTCTTAGGGACAAGCCAAGGAGTATGTGGAGGAATATAGGTGGAAAGGAGCCCACAGCGTGGGTCACAAGCAGCCATGCTCTGAAGCAGAGTGACAATGAGGGTACCCAGTCCACAGAGAACACTGTGGCACTGCCCTGGGCTTGGCCTCATAGGTCATGCATACATGTGGCTGGGTGTAAGCAGAACAGAGGCAGGACAAGGACTATGAGGACGATCTTCATCCTCCTTCCCTGCCGGCACCTCCTCCAAGGGCCTGATGGAACCTCACCTGGCCAAGTTCTCTGTCACTCTCCGCAAGGCTTCCTGCTTCTTGGCCCGGTTCTTGGCAGCTGCCTCATTGGCCATCTTCAGGCCCAGCCGCTCTCTGCGGCCAGGCTCCAAGATCTACAAGGAAGTCATGTGAGCAGTCTATACTAGACCTGCCACCAACCAGGTGTCCCTCACCCAAAGAGCTGCTGCTGTGGGTGCCAACCTCTTTCTCCTGGTGATCACAATCCCAGCAACCTAGTGTCACCTCCCCTTGAAAGCCTCTCAAAAGCCTCACTCCAATTTCTCAAAAAACTAGGACTGGAGCTTCCAATTGACCCAGCCATTCCTCTCCTGGGTCTTTCCAAAAGAATTAAAAGCATCATACCACACAGATATATGCACACCTATATTTATGGTAGCACAGTTTGTAATTGCCATATCTTGGAAACAACCCAAGTGCCCATCAACTGAGGACTGAAAAATGTGAGGATTTTTTGGAGACAGGGTTTTATTATGCAGTTCAAGCTGGCCTTGAATTTGCAGCAATCCTACTGCCGCAGCCTCCTGAGTGCTGGGATTACAGGCATGTGCCACCACGCCTGGCCAAGATGTGAGTCTCTTTATACAATTTAGTACTACTTTGCCATAAAGAATGATAAGCTTGAGACATTTCTAGGAAAATGGATGCACCTCGAAACTATTTATATCCCCAACCAGGGATCAAACTCAGGACTTTGTTCTTGCCAGGCAGGTGCTTAATATGCTGAGCTAGCTCCCCAGCCCTGAGACCATGCTCTTATTTTTTTTTTGTTTTTTGTTTTTTTGTTTTATTTTTGGTGGAACCAGGGATTGAACACAGGCCCTTGCACCTCCCAGGGAAGTGCTTATTCTACTGAGCTATCTCCCTGGCCCTGAGACCATGCTCTTAAATGAAATAAATTGGACATACATGTGTGAATGCTGCATTATTTCTCTGGTGTGAGAAACTGAAAATGTAAATAAGAGGGGGAGGGGAGTAGAAGGCAGGGTAGAGCAATGAGGCGAAAACAAGTTGTATCATATACAGGTCTGAATTCTCTATAATGCATGTGATTGTTATGTAGATCTAAAATATACCGATAAAATCTAATTTAGGACAGGTTTTTAGTTTTTGGTTTTGGTGCTGGGGACCAAGCCCAGGGCTTCCAGATGGCTAGGCAAATGTTCTAAATTGAGCCAAATCCCCAGCCTCAATAAAATCTAATTTAAAGAAGAAATTTCCCTCTAGATCTGCCCTGCTTAGCTCCCCTCAACAGGTCCTCACAGCCAGGACCACTAAGGCATCAACTCTGACAAGCTTTTAGGAAAAAATTGAGTCTTGCTTTTATTTCACACACTCGGATTATTGGAGTAAACATCTTTCTGCTTTTACTGGCCTTCTGTGAGTCTTTCAAAACCCACCAGATGTAAATGAGGCCTCTTTTCTACAGAGGTGCTTACCTCATTTTGTTACTTACAGGGGCTTTATCTACCAATTAAATTAAACCATAATCAGCACGATGGTGCGTGCAACAGGCCAAAGCAGGAGGACTTCTGAGTTCAAGGCCAGCCTGGGATACATGAGGAGTTCAAGACCAATCTATAGAGGGATTTGTTCTTCTTCTTCTTCTTTTTTTTTTTTTTGGGGGGGGGGGAGAACCGGGGTTTGAACTCAGGCCCTTGCACTTGCCAGGGAGGCGCTTATTCCACTGAGCCATCTCCCTGGCTCCCTAAGAGGGATTTGTTCTAATGGTGTTTGTAAATAGGATATCATGTCCGCATCTTGTACAGCAATTAACCACTAGGAAGAATGTATGCAATGTGTTAATTATTGAAACTGTCCTACCAATTTGATTTGAAACTGTCTCATTGCTGTTTCTCAATAAATTATGGGCAAAAAAAACCAGTCTAAACTACAAAGCAAGACCCGATCTCAAAAAATAAAAACAGACAGCTCAACAGATTAAAGTGCCTGCAAGTAGGCACAGGGGCCAGAGGTTCATCCCTGGGCCTGCCACGCCGGCCCCACCCTGGGGTGCACTGATATGGCAACTGAGAGTGGGCTTGAGACCGGGCGTGCTGGTGCATGCCTGAATCCCAGCTCTTGGGAGGCTATAAACAGGCAGATCACTGAGTCCAATCTAGTAGTGAGACCCTCAACACTCTGTAGACCCCTAAATACAAGAAAAAGAAAACAAGAATGTGCTCCAGCTGCTTGGGCTGTGGCTGCTGGGCTCAGAATTGTGGTGGCCCTGGAATTTGGCTGCTGCTGCCTTACCTCGTTTTAGTTTAGTTTCATTCCCTTTACATCCAGGTTTTTTCCCTAGGCAATGGGGGCCACAGTACACACAGTTCCTTACACAAAGCGACATAAATCTGCTGTACTGATTAGTCAAGCAATAAAAAAAAAAAAAAGAAAAAAGAAACTCAAAACATAAAAAAACAGCTGGGTATGGTGGTGCACACCTGGAATACCAGCACTTAGGCTGAGGAAGGAAGACCACTGCAAGTCTGAGGCCAGCCTGGGCTACATAAGAAGTTCAAAACCAGCCTAACCTATATGAGACCCTGTCTCAAACAACAACTAAAATAACAATGATAATAGTAAATAAAAATAAATCACCTATCCCATACAATTGCTTTGCACTTATTTGATTTTGTTTTCTAATTTAAAAAAATCTTCTGTTTATTTTGTACAGGGTCTTGCTATGTAGCTTGGACTTGTAGTGATCCTCCTGTCTCAGTCTCCCAACACTAGGATTATAGGCATGCACCACCATGCCCAGTTTGGAAAAATGACTTTTTTTTTTTTTTTTTTTTTGCGGAACCGGAGATTGAACTCAGTCCTTTGCACTTGCCAGGCAAGCACTTATTCTACTGAGCCATCTCCCTGGCCCCTGCCATGCCCAGTTTGGGACTAGCATGGCATATGGTACCGGGGATTGAACCTGAGTCCTTGCACTTGCCAGGCAGGTGATTAGACCACCGAGCTATCTTCCCAGCCCCTGGTTTTGTTTTCTCCATGATTTTTCTTTTTTTTTGGCAGAACCGGGGATTGAACTCAGATCCTTATGTTTGCCAGTCAAGCGCTTATCCTACTGAGCCATCTCCCCGGCCCCCTCTCCATGATATTTATGGCTGTATAAAAGTTCATCATTTTTATATACATGAGTCCCTGCTTGTCTTCATAGGATATGTTCCAAGAGTCCCCAAAGGACACCTGAAAGCTGAAATAGTATCAAATCCTATGCATGTATTTTTTCTATTTGTACCTAGGATAAAGTTTAATTGTAAATCAGTGCCTGAGGATATAACCCAGTGGTAGGGTCTATGCTTAGTATATGTTAAGACACTGAGTGTTGATCCCTAGAACCACCACAAAGAAGAAAGAACACCCAAGTTGGGCCAGCCAAATAGCTCAGCAGATTAAAGTGGCTGCAAGCAGGCCCAGGGCCTGGGGTTCGATTCCCGGGCCGGCCATGCCAGCACCATCCCCACTTCTGGGGCGTGCTGAGATAGTGATTGAGACTAGGTGTGGTGGCACACGCCTGTAATCTCAGCTCTGGGGAGGCTGTAAACAGGCAGATCACTACAAGTCCGATCTAGTAATGAGACCTTGAACACCCTGTAGACCCTTCTCTAAATACAAAACCCCCCAAAAAACTTAATAAGATAGGGGCCGGAGACATGGCTCAGTAGAGTAAGTGCTTCCCTGGCAAGCACAAGGGCCTGAGTTCAATCCCCCGTTCCGGAAAAAAAAAAAAAAAAAAAAACTAACTAATAAGATAACACAATAGCATGCAATCATAAAATGACTTAAGCATCATGAACTACTTATGTAAGTTCACATTTAACATTTTCAGACTGCAGCTTACTTTGAGTAACTAAAAGCTGAAACCTTGGATAATGGAGGAGTACTGTACCTATTACTTCAATTTTTTTTCTCTTCATGTTTAGAAAGTTCTTTCTACTTTAAGAGCAAGCTAAGAAAGAGCCTGGGCTATTGCTCAGCCGTTGAACACTTGCCTAGCATGCACAGGCCCGGGTTTCATCTCTAGTATAGCAAGGAAAATATCAGATAAATACTCCCTTGCTTTCTTTTGTCTTATGGTTATTGTTCTTATGTTTAATCCTCTCAACTTTCTAGAATTTATCTTGTTCTATATATTAAAGAGCTAGAGGGCCAGGGATATAGCTCAGTGACACAAGCAAGTGCAAGGTCCTGAGTTCAATTGCTGCTACAAAAAAAAAAGAGCTAAATCATTTTAATTCTAAACATTGTTATTTAACAAACTTGAATGTCATCTTTTTTTTGTGTGTGGAACCGGGGATAGAACTCAGGCCCTTGCGCTTGCTAGGCAAGCACTTATTCTACTGAGCTGCCTCCCCGGCCCCTTGAATGTCATCTTTATTCCTTCAATTGTTACTTGGCAGTGTGTTTTAGAACCTGCCC